AGTAGTAGTAGTAGTAGTAGTTAACACGAGGACAACAGTTACATGCGCAGCTCTGGCGCTCGAAAGGCAATTTGGGAGAAGTGCTTGGCCTGAGCGCGGCACGGCCGGCGTTAAGCCTGCATCTTCAGGCTTGTCTGCACCGCATCGCCTGCACAAGTTGTTTGGGCAATTTCAGGAGGAGTTCTGATTCGGGTCCTGTTGTCCGATGGTCTAATGGTAGTGCATTCTCGGATGCACCAACCTGACCCTCGTGTAGCTAAGATCACCAATGATTGGGTTTGCGCACCACTACTGCTTACGCCCAGGAAAATTCAGGGATTGCCGCCACTTTTGTTCGTGCCTCAAATGCTGCCCACAAGCCTACCGATTCTCTTCCACTAATTCGTGTTGGCAGCGAGCGAGTGAGATGGATAATGACAAACACCTCCAAAACGAAACAACTGCAATGGCACCGAGTGTAGCGGAAGTAATGAGCCACCATCTGCTCGGGTACTTCAAGCTTCTCATCAGCCTTCAGCAACTACCGGTTCTCGTAGTAGAAGAAGTGACCAAAAAGGTAAACAGAGATAAACAGTGGCGGCTGACCGAGGTATTGCCAGCAAAAGACGTAATGCGGAATGTGGACATACCATTGAAGAGGGACACAAGCAGCAATACCAACGATACTGCAAAGTTTAGCTGGACCAACGTCAAGCATATAATGTAGTAGCATTGAGAGTTGTGTTACTTCTTGTTAACCACGGTGCTCCGCCTGCATGTAGTATTGCGTGCAAACTGAAGATCTCCACCTGAAGCTCCAAGCATCGCTTCTCGCAGGGCTGCTTGACTCTTGCTCGGAGGATCATGGGACTTAGTNNAGGGTTATAAATAAGGCAACTATAATCATAACCCCTATTAGGGTACTTATAACCTTGCTTCCTAAGTCCCATGATCCTCCAAGTATGAAGCCAAGCGACACATCTTGCAGTTCCAGTCTCCTTCGCGGGCAACCTGGGCCGGACACTGTAAGGCTTTTTTTTGCTTTGAAGGGCTTCTCAATTTCTATCCGCAGAGTACGCATCTAGAATACTGGTTAGGTGGTAGGGGCACAGGGGTTCGCATAAAGGTGGATCAATTCCACTCCTCACCCGCCGCCTTCCCAGCCTGCTGCACATCCGCAGCTGGATGAAGCTTCACCGGAATGTTTGAGGCATAGGCTGCAGGGTATAATCTTAAGGTTCACTTGCTGTTGCAGTCAGCATCGCTTGACATGTTGCTGACGTGTAAGATCCAGAAGCGCATGTGCACTGCAGGGAGTGGAGACTCAGGGAGAGGCGGATCCTGTTCCATTGCGACCGGCACCCATTGTTGTCCTGGCAAGTCACTGGAGTCTGCAAGGATCGTAGAGGCTGGGCCTCGGCCACCGCTGATAAGCCATGTCAGAAGTACAGAACATCATTGGGACGCGCTGCTCCTGGCCCCGAGGACTTTGAAGGCATGCTCAACGAAAAACAGTGCCAGCGGTGAGTGTCACTGAGACAAACCACTGTTAGAGCAAACATGCTGTGCCAGACCACACTTTCGGCAGTTGGCGTTCTTGGCGAAGACATGATCGCCACAACTGTGGCAAATCCAGTCGCCAGGCCGCATCTGAAGGCCCTGTCATTTCAGATCAGAGGTCACCAAAGCAGTAAAGAATCAGTAAAGAGATACGATGACCTGCTGAACATGCTACAGGCACGCAAGCCGCAAGCCCCTATCACTTCCGCATTGCTGGCGTGGCAAGCCCAAGTGCGGCAGGGATGACGTTTTTGCTGAGTCCCAGAGTGGCGGCGGCCGCCGCAGCTGTAGCCTGGCATAGGGTTTAGGGTTTAGGGTTTAGGGTTTAGGAGTCTTGGAAGATAAGCGAGGTGCCTCGTTAAAGCCTGGACGCGAAATGGCCGGTCTGGTAGGAAGGGTTGAGTAGATACATAATTAACCACTAAGCATCTAGTTGTCTTGCTTCTGAGAACCCATGATTGACAAGCCTGTTTAGTGCTTTTAGCGGCCGAGCATCCCTGATCACTGCTCTCCTGATAGCCAATGTGCATACAACAGGTTCGCAAAGGTCCCACACCCAGACTCTGATTCATTTTAGGACACCGCAAACCCAACAAGGCCTATCTGAGACATGCAGATCCTCTGAGCTCCTACTCAGCAACCCCTTTGAACCACACAAGACCAACGCATGCCCCGGAACAGGGATGAGAGATGCTCAACTCATCGGATGCCCTTCCCTAGCTCTCAACCTGTACACTTTAAACTCAGATTCTCTAACCCCCAAGCACGGTTCCAAAGCTGCAAACTCGAAGCCTTCAACGCTCAAAGGCGATACCCAGGTTCCACAGACCCGACCCACAGATTGGCGGAGTTTGAGAGGCACTGCGGCCTTCGCCTACTTGGAGGATCATGGGACTTAGTAACCAGGGTTATAAATAAGGTTACTATAATTATAACCCTAATTAGGGTACTTATAACCTTA